CAACATTAGTTATCCTGTCATTCCATACATCTTGACGACTGATGCCCAGAATGGTGCGGACACAACGGAGATGAAAGACAGACAACGCATGAACATCAGCCTGTAGCGTTACCAAGCATTCGGACCCATAGAGCAGAGTCGACAGCACACAAGCATTGTACACTGACCGTTTGATGGATATTGGCAGTGTTACATCGTGGACTATCGATTTCTTCAGAGCGCCAAACGCTTTGGCAGTTTGTGCGATCCGGGATGTGACATCATCATGACATCGGCCGTTGCTGTGTATGTTGGATCCAAGGTAACGAAAAGACGACACATGGGCAATCTCCATAGTTCGAATCGCGAGCGGCTCTAGATCGTCGTTAAAGATGTTGGGGCCAGAGACCATGAACTTGGTTTTGGTGGCACTGACGGTGAGGCGAAAATCGCTGCATGCATCCACAAATACCTCCTAAGCTGAAACTGCGGCCTGGCGTGTCGCGGCCACAAGACCGGAATCATCAGCAAACTGACACTCTGTCAGCTCCAGGGATCTATCACGGCGGCTACGGTGGTGGAGTAGCTTCCCATCTGGCTCGAAGAAGACCTTCGCGCCTACACCAGGGATAGGCTGCACGTGCTGGCACCAACAATGCATCACTGCCCACATAAAGATGTTGAATAGGACAGGGGCCATGCAACGTCCCTGCCGCAAGCCGTTCGTCACAGGGATGGGGTCAGCTTCAACATTCGACAGACGGAGAGTTGCGGTAATGCCGTCATGGAATGCACGGATAACAGCGATCAGCTTCTCGGGGACGCCAGCTTTTCGCAGTACTAACCACAGACACTCTCGCGGAACTGAGTCATAGGCTTTCTTCAGGTCAATGAAGATGAAGAAACACTTCTGCTCATGCTCGTAGCTCTTTTCGATTAGTTGCCTTGCCGCAAAGATCATGTCAGCACACCCACGTCCTGTGCGGAAGCCGCATTGAGAGTCTGGTAGCACATCGCCTAGTTTATCAGCAAGTCGGCTCTGGATGACGCGAGCAACCACTTTACCAATAACGTCTAGGAGAGCTATGCCTCGCCAGTTGTCACATTCCGCAAGGTTACCTTTCTTGGGGATAGGCACCAGCTGCGCGTTGACCCAGTCGCAAGGAACACTGCCACTTTCCCAGACTGAATGGAGAAGCTCCAGTAGGTGGTCAGTAAACAGATCTGGACAGGCTTTGAGCATCTCCGGCAGGATTCCTGACTGACCTGCAGCTTTGCCACTTCGACATTGCGTGATTGCCTGCTGTAACTCCAACAGATCAGGCGGCGCAACGAAACTATCCAGACACGGCATTTGTGGAACACAGTCAAGAATACTGGAATTGAACGTACTTGCACATTCAGAACACCAGAGAAATGACGGCCCCAACGTTTGCCCTGGTCTTCGGCAGATGCACATGGATTTCCGTTCTCGTCGTTGATCGCAGCAGTTGTGATGCGGGTCGGGCATTGTTTGACTGTTTGTAGTGCACGGACACATTTCCACACAGTTCGTCCTGAGAATCTTTGTGCATTGGCGAGCTCTGCCTTGGCTGATATCCAGTCACGTTTAGCCTTCCGCACTGCGGCACGCGCTTGACTGCGAGCCTGTTTGAAAGCAGTGTGATCCCTAGGACGTTGATGTTGAAGCCAGAGCGCGTGCAGCCGATTTCGTTCCTGTAACAGGGGTGCAATAGTCGGGCCACTGTCCACATACCAATCAAGTTGTTTACGCTTGCGTTGACCAAGAGTGTCCGTTCCGGCAGTGACAACAGCATCGCGGAGGACGTTCCACTTTTCATCTATTGGATCATGCGGGCGCCAATGTGTTGATACGAGAGTGGACACCGCGTCTTGATAAGCAGACAACGGGGTGGCGCCATCATCAGGGTTGTTGTTTGCATCGGCAGAAAGAAATAACTTGGACGTGTCGAAGCGACCCTTGCTACGTTGCACATGCACAGCTTACGGGTTGACAGAGTGGTGATACGTGCCAAGAAGGAAGCGTGCACAAAGCAGTTGATGGTCACTGCCACACTATGCACTTGGGATGATCTGAGAATCCATGCACAGCATCCTATCACACTGGCCAGTGATGATGTAGTCAATGCAATGCCATTTCTGTGACTTTGGATATTGCCAGGTTGGTTTGAGATTTTGTCTCTTGTTGTGCCAGGTGTTACAGATTGTAGCATTGCACACATTGCCAGGAAATCTAATAGTTCCTTTCCGAGAGGAGTTCATCTCCTCAACGTCATGAGGGCCACGCACAGTGCACCACTCATCCCTAGACTGCTCAGCATGGCTGCCACGAGTGCCAACTCGCGCGTTGAAGTCTTCGAGTAGAACGTATCTGTCACCACGAGGGACGTCGTCAATCGCTTGCTGCACGGAGTCGTAAAAGTGCTCCTTCTCCGATCGAGTGCTGGCGAAAGTCGGAGTGTATGCCACAATAACAGTGTACCAGCGTACAGCACGCTGGACTTTGAACTTCAATCGTACGCTGACAAGGCGAGAGCTGTACGCTCTCCAGACACAGCCTCCTGCTTTCCAAGCGTTCGTTGAATTCAAATTCAAAACGACAGCAACACCTTCTCCTCGTCGACGACTGGAGTCCTCCGAAGGAACAGGACGACCTGATGTAAGAATAGTAGAGCCACCAACAGGATATGATTGTTCACCAAAACAATGTGTCTCCTGAAGTCCTGCAATATCCACAGCCAGACGCGAGAGTTCCGCGACGACCCGTTCGATTTTCTTATCCTCCACGACTTTTCCAGTTACAGCTGCAGTTTCAATTGGGCCTGAGCTTTCCACAAGTGACCGGACATTCCAGGTGCCCACTGACAAATAACGTCTACGTCCTGTACTGTTTCGAACCTGCTCATCTCGTGCAGTCGCGGACGTTCGGGGGTTGCAACTCCTCACCGAACGAAGGGCGCGCGGAGAAACTTGAGGTGGCAACATCATGCGAAGCCCTGGTCCTCAAGAATCTTAGTCCGCGACCCTATCTGCTTCAACAGGTCCTGAACTAACCTGGGACGACCCTGGACAAGGCCAGAGCCGCCCCAGAGTGGGAAATTCTTGAGAAAACTTCCAAAACTCGAGAGCTCAAAAACTACCAACTACCCTCACCAACTGCAACACACACACACACACACACACACACACACACACTCACAGAGTCATAAAGCCAGTATACTAAGCAACGAACACCTAGCCTACAGGATACCAGTTAATCAGCTATGGTAGATGTATGATGTGTTGACATGTCATGTCGGCATGGAGACGGCTTTTCCAGGGTAACTGGAGCTGCGAAAGAACTCAGTTCTGATTTGACTTGCTTACTTTGTGGTGAAACAATGTTAGTATGAAAGAGAGGACGGCCTCTGCATTGTAACTGGAGCTGCTGAAGAACTGTCTGCTTGATGTACTTAGTTTTCTGTTGTTGTGAATCAATGGCAGTATGAAAGGGAAGAATGCCCTACATAATCAAATTATAGATATGAGAAATGTAGCAGAGCGTGTTATTTCAGCAGACGTGTCACATGATTGGCAGACACTGGCTTGAACAGTGCTAGGATAAGAAGTGCTATGGAAATGTTTTGCACTGACACTCGGTGCATGACCACAGATACGTAGCGTGCAGATAATGTGGTGCAACTTCAAGAGATTCAGTACTGAGACGATATGCACGTTGTACAGATGTATGAAGTTCTGTACTAAGGTCGTAGGTGTGTACAGACCCGTTCGGGTGTTCACTGTGTGATATATATGCGCATTTCACCAATTTTAGCATCATAATTAGTAGGAAACAATCGCTTTTCCAGCTTCTTCACTTTCGTTAGAACTAAAAACTAGCTAGATCTTTGTCGGGGGGGGGGGGGGGTTGTAAGAAATGCCTTCAGGGCCCATTTCTTAGTGGAAATAGTAGTAAACACAATAGGGTCATGCACATTTTAAGGGGAAGTTAAGCCTAAAATCAAATTTTCACCAGTTGTAGTCTTCGGTGTGCTGAGCTGAATGGTCTTGGTCCGAGGAAGCTGAGACGCTCCCTTCCTTCTTTAATCCCAATTGAACTCGCGCACTTCCACCGAAACTGGGTGACTGCGTCCTACTAGATGGGGATTTGTATGCAAAATGTCACTAAAAGCGCCATTTCGTTCTTATAAAAGCACGGATGACCGCGATTGGCCCATATGTTGTAGTCTTTTGGACGCTGAGTCGACTGGTTTGGGTCCGAAAAGGCTGCGATGTAGCGTTCGGCCCTTATTCCCAATCGAACATGGTTGAACAAGCGGTCACGTGCTCCACCAGTCACGTGGTTACCACGCCAGCAGGCGACGACTTTCACACCAAGGTTCAACTCAAAGGTTCAAAGGTTCAACTCGAGTGACAGAAGCTCGTCCAAACATGCTGCAAGTAAAAGCCCGCAGGCACGGTGACCAGGTGACTGGTGTACGCTCGAGCACGTGAAGGTCGCAGTCACCCAGTTTCGGTGGAAGTGCGCGAGTTCGATTGGGATTAAAGAAGGAAGGGAGCGTCTCAGCTTCTTCGGACCAAGACCATTCGACTCAGCACCCCGAAGACTACAACTGGTGAAAAATTGATTTTAGGCTTAACTTCCCCTTTACCCAACCGGGTCTACGTGATTCTACGAGATTCTACGGGATTTTGTGCATCTGTACAACGTGCATAAGGCTTTAAAAAACCATCCTCTTCTAAGGGTTAATTTGCTCAAATGCACAGCAGTCAGTTAAATTCCAATGAAATGCTTGTGCTCAAATTGTCCTGCTAAACTGTTCATGTTGAAATTCTGGTGCTGAAAAAGGATTATTCCGGGTGTTGTAGGCTAGTTAAACCCAATTCACCGTGAACATATCCTTCCCATTTTCTTTAATGACTTCTTCCTGATATCTAAATCACATGATTGTATTGTGCTTTGTTCTGGTGTATGTGTATATATTGTGCAGCTGATAATGGCCAGTACGCAGCAGCTCTAAGTGAATTGATCAAGGAAGGTGTCCAGCTGATACCGTACGGGCGCCTGATAATGTGCGGGCCGGGCCGCACAGGCAAGAGCAGCTTCCTGCGATCCCTCCTGCGTCAAGCATTCATGTCCCAATTCGATAGTACTATCGGTGTGGAGCTGGAGAAGGTGATATGCACGATCGAGAAGCAAGGGTTACAGTATGAATGGAAGCAAGCTGAAAATTCTTACCAGCAGCAGTTGGCCCTGACGCACAGAGCTGTTGGACAAGAAAAACAGAAACGGAAAGCAGCAGCACTGAGACAACCAAGCGTGGAGATCTCGCAGAATGCCAGGTCCACATCCTCAACGACATCAACACCCGTAGCATCGCCATCCTTTGTTACTGAGGCTGAGCAAGTGAATACAGCCAGTGTGGGTGAATCTTCTCTCACCCAACCTGATGACACCACCGATACCGGGTACTCTGCTCAATCTGCTACCAGTTCATCTGAAACTATGGACTCCCAAAATGTTTCCCCTGCATCCAAGCCAGAGATTTCACCTATGACTGCGCTGAAAGAAGAAACACCAGAGCAAGATGTCCAGCAACTACAGACGGAAATCAACTCAGCAACATTGAAGTTCGATAGCTTCATTGAAGATCTGCGGACAGGCAAAAGCGAAGTTTTCACTGCAGAACATTTCAAGGATTTCACTTTTATGGATGTCTGGGACTTTGCAGGCCAGAAGCTGTTTGCAGCGATCCAACACATGGTCCTGGCCTGTGATCGGTGTGCATATGCTGTCGTCTTTGATGCCTCAAAGAAGCTCCAGGCCAGAGCGAAGCCGACGTTTGGTGTAGATGGTGAGGAACTGCCGCTTTCCAACAGTCTGGAGCAGACCAACTTTGATGTTCTGGAGACATGGTTCAACGCTATCCACGAGGTCATTGGAGACAGCGACAACGTACCCGTGTTTGCCATTGGCACTCATGTGGACAAGTTACCAAAGAATCCAGAAGCAAGGAAGAAGGCAACTGAAGAGATAAAGAAGTACATATGGGCCAATGCAGAGGGAAAAGCATACGCCAACAACATCGACAAGGTGGTATTTGTGGACAACACACGAGCTGGTAAAGATCCGGAAGACCCAGCAGTTGTTCAGCTACGGCAAGACATCATCCAGCAGCTGCAGCATCAGTTCAATGTTCCAATACCAATCCGCTGGCTTCCTGTGACCATTTCCATTGGGCACATTGCAAAATCGTTTGAACGACCATGGTTATCGGTTGAAGAGCTACGTCGCTTAGCTATTGCTGTTGGTAGCATCTCCAGTGATGATTCTGAGTCCGATTTCCAGGAGATGGTGAAGTTCCACCATGGTCTTGGTCATGTGCTTCACTTTGTTCACAACGCCCGTCTTCGTGATCGTGTGATCATTGACATCCACTGGGTTCTGAAGACTATGTCGCTGCTCTTCTGTCCTGAACCAAAGGATTTGCAGAGCAAACGTCTTCGTCCACAGTACGACTTGCTGACACAGAGTGGCATCCTCCTGGAAAGTCTTGCCATGCACCGTTGGTCACAGCACAATCGCATGACATCACGCTACACGGCCACAGAAGAACAGCGTGATTTCCTGTTTGAGATGGGTGAGCACTTTGCCCTGTTCTACAACACCAAGACAACTGTGAGCGTGCCTGGTCAGAGAAAGGAGGTGACAACTCGCAAGTTCTTTGTGCCAGCTCTGGTGGAACGAGTTGCACGTCTTCAAGATGAAGCAAGCAAAGGCAAGCCAAGTCCAGCTATGTACCTGTACAGTGGTGCTGATCGTTACTTTCCACAAACCCTGTTCTGGTGTGGTGTTGTGAGGTGTATGCAACGCTACAGTCCAAAGGTGGATCCAATCCTCTATCACACATCAGCACGTATTCTGGTGAAGGATCGTTTCTGGCTGGTCATGCGGTACTTCCAGCATGGTATTCGCCTCTCACTTGAGATTCCTGTTGATGCTCGACCAACTGCTAAGTCTTCGATCGCCAGTGCTACTCCTGTTGCTGCTGCCAGTGTGGGAAAGTCAGTTGAGTCCGCTGGCATTGGAGCTGCTGAAAGCGAGGATGTGTCAGAAGCTATCAAGCTTTGTCATGAGCTTCTACCATACCTGGAGTCAGAGCTTGACAATCTGAAGGCATTCTCGCTGACTCATGTGAAGTTTAGCAGAGCTGTTCGCTGTCCATGCTCGTTCAGTCGAGATGCGTGTCGCAAGCACAAGAAGAAGGGTTGTGCAGAGATTGGCTGTCAGCACTTTGCTCCATTGGTGGAGGGATTGCGCCCACGTTGTACTCTCGGGGCACGTCCGTCCGTGGATATCAGCGACGTAAGGCAATACTGGCCATGCTTTGCCGAAGACACACATGTGAGTATACAATGGGTTGATACTGCATGAATGCTGCATGTTTTAAATGTTTGTACTTATGTTTGACATCAGACCTGTTGTTGCATTAGTACAATGGGGAATTGTATTACTAAATCTGTGGACAGAACCCTTTTTGCTTTGTTGGCTCTTCAGCTCAGCACAGAGAAAATGGGGTCCAGCCTGATAGCAATGAAAAATACAATTTTCCAAACAAAAACATGGTTCGCGTGAGATGAGGCTGGAGGCCGAGGTTTGCACATCCGTAGGAACGCCACCTCCCTGTATGAATCAAGGTGCAGGTGCAGCTCCTAAAGCCCACCCTATATTCCAAAGCCGGATTTAAACCAGGCCCAAAGGTACTTTGCCTGATTGTCCGTATTGACAAGAATTATACGGGGAAAATTATATCAATCGATCGACTACTGTAAAACCGGAAAGTTTAACGGCCAAAAAGTTTAACGTTTTTTGTAATGTTGGCATGATAACGTGCAGAAATTTTAACGATGGCTTCATGACCACCCATCTGTATGCGCACTTTTCTACAGACATCTCAAACCGGGTTCGTGATAACGTTTCTTCAAATAACGAAACAAAAAACGGTCGTTGAAACGTTAGACTTTGTGACTTTTTCGACTTTCCGGTTTTACAGTATACGATTCCTGCACTTGCTTGTAAACTCTTTGTGCTTGAGATATATTTTGACCATTTGCCCACCCCTTAGGCACTTTCTCGTGACTTTATAGAATTCTGTTTCTTGTTTTCTTCCATTTCCAGACTGTGGAGAGTGTGGATGAGAAGGATTGCCCATCAGACCCGGTGACGGTAGTTGGAGATGCTACTTCAAATACTGGAGGTAAATCACACATCTAATTTGATGTTTCAGGAAATGTTGAGCGCAAGAATACTATTGCTGTTCTGTGCCAGGAGCATGTCCCTTAGAATACGTTCATTACGCAATTATTTGACTTGGGCCACCAACACACCACACAAAACGGATGGTCGTGTGGAGTTTCGATCTGTGCGTTCTTGATCCCAGTATACTCACAGGCCTTGCCCATACCTTCCATATTTGGCAATGCTCAATGGGCTTATATCGAATTCTGTTCTTTGTATTCTCTCTCTCTCTCTCTCTCCCCCTCCCCCTCCCTCTCCCTCTCTCTCTCTCTCCCTCTCCCTCTCTCTCTCTCTCTCTCTCTCTCTCTCTCTCTCTCTCTCTCTCTCTCTCTCTCTCTCTCTCTCTCTCTCTCTCTCTCTCTTTCTCTCTCTCTCTCTCTGTCTATCTATGTTCTGTAGGATTGCCTACATTTCAGCCACCCACCAAGGATGTGCCGAAGAGGGCTGTACTCTATCACAAAGCATTACGCAAACACTGCCTGGCAGTGAAGCGCTGCAAGGAGATCAGTGTGGTTGAGTCTGTGGAGAGCTTGCGAGCTGAAGGTCATGTCAGTGATGATTGTGTGAAGGAAGCGAGAGCTCTGATGAAGGCAAGTGGACACACTGAAGCTCTGGATCACCTTTGCTGTGTCCTGGAGGAGCTGTCGGACGAAGGCATGTGTTACTTTGTGGAGCGTGTACTACCATTTCAAGGTCTGTCTCAGCTGGTGGAAACATTCCAAGCTTGTCCCGGTCCTGGAAAGTGCACTCTGAATCACCATGATCTCCACACTGCTGCCAGTGCTGATGTCAAAGGGAAAGTGTTGGATGAAGCGGTTGACACTGCAAGTGGTACTTCTTCTTCACTGAAAGACAAGGTGAAGACCGGGGTAAGAATGGATCAATTTTTGCTTTTGTTTTGAAGGTGTCATCGGGTAGTATGGTACCCGCGAGACCTGTAATGGGAGCGGGTTGTCGGTTAGTAGTTAGCAGTTTGCGCCTAAGAACTCCTTTGGATAGTTGGAGTACGGTGTTTGCACAACTGTGCATGTACTTGTAAGTATCGTCGAGGGGTGTATACCCGGACGATAGGCTGGCACGAACAACATAAGAAGCACAGCTACCTGCTTACTGTACACTTCTCTATGTAGCGGAAGTGCACACTCACTGTACAAGCACATTGTGGCGATCCCGCTCATGCAATGCCATGTTACTCGTACTATGTAAAAGATACCCAATAGGGTACCCATACTACCAAGATAGAAATGCCCGAACTCGTTACCCGATCAAGCCCCTAACCGTTGCAGCCCTACTTTTGTTAAGGTTTCCTCCAAAAAATGTATTAAGTACTGGTAGAGAGCCAGTTGTCTAAATATTTCCAATGCTGTGGCTACTGCATGGGAAAGAGTGAATACCTGTATGTCAGTAGAGATCAGGTGCATGTTTTCCTCTTTTGTTAGTTTTTAGTTTTCCAAGCCAGGGGCAATGTCGGAAGGTAATTTAGTGTGGTACGGTCAGCCATCTGAAGTACAGTGTACTCGTGGGAGAGGGGTGGCTGAGCTGAAATATTTGGAAATTTACAGCCCAAATCAGTGCATGTTATTGATTCACGGGGTACTTACGGCAAATAGTGGTACGGTCAATACCGTACTGACCATACTGTGTGCGACGCCTCTGCAAGCACACATATCCAGGTATTCTGCTGGATGGGGAAAGTCACATATTTTCTTTCTTTTTCACAGCTCATGAGAACATTAGTGGATGTGGAAGGTAGATACATCATGAACATTTTCACATAATTATCATGGTGTAGATGTTAAAATGCCTTAATTCCCTGCTAAATAAATTATCCAACTGGTGTGCCTATTTTCTGCACTAGATGTCTGAGCTTCACCAGGAAGTACTGCGTTCAAGCTATGTGGAGTTGAAGTGTAGTTTGGACGTAGAAGAGGGCATTCTGGACCGTCTCTATGCAGAGAGCATCATCACCCAGCGCTTCTGCAAGAAACTCCGTGCTATGGATGATCGTGAAGACCAGGTAATGCTTGTGTTGATGTGTAATTACTACCTATGGTGTATTCATTTAACTACTAGTAGCCACTGCAACGTATCACACAGCATTTCTATTTCATATGAAGAAGAAACATTTGCAGGGGCACTGGAAATCGGAACCAGCACTGCCGTCTCAATGTCGATACCTTTTTATTGAGCACCGATTAATTGTATCCTTGCAGAAGTGGGGAATGTAAGAATTCTTTTGCATGTCAAGCTTTCATACTTGGTAATTCGTGCAAAAAGTGACCAATGGCAGCAGACTAAACGCAAGCATGATATTTTGCATGTACACTCAAACTTCCCTTGCCTGGCCTGTGCGGATGACCTCACCCGTAACTGCCAACTGCTGATGCTGTAAGTCAACGAATATTCGGCGCATATTTATTTTCGGCTATTTTCGGCCTGGGCATATTTGGCCGAAAAATTGTTGCAGCCGAAATTTTGTGTTGCAAGGTTGAGTGTGACAGTGCACACAGTCAGCGGCAATGCAGGCCAAAAATTTGATGTGGCTGAAATGTGTTTTAACCCTGGGAGGCCGAAATTTGAATGGGCTGAAAATTTGTAGACTTACAGTATCTGAGAATAGTAATCCTGAGCATCAATCAAATCATGTTCTGTTTATCAACCCGTTGACAACAGTCTCCAATTTCAAAGCTGCAAGGAGTGTAGTTACCGGTACATAGAGTTTATCAGATGACCCAGAGATTGTCAGGTTATTGTTCTCATCAACCACCTCACCACATGTGCGCTTTTCGGCCGACCTTGACTCGTTGCCACAGCACACCATCAGCAGCATAATCTGTAGAAGGGCGAGTGCTGCTGCTGCTGCTATCCCTTCTTGACTGTCAGGTTGGTGGAACAATCTGGAAAAGGGCTAATAGGATACTTAAAGTTTGAGTATACAAATGGCCAGGTCAAATTTTGCACAGAAATACAAATGTAGAGCACTTGTTTTGTGCTTGATCTTTCTTTAGGCGAGACCAAAAAAAATAGAGATTCCCGGGCCCTCCCGAACCAAAATCGAGCCAAAGCCATTTATTATTTGTACAATCATATACACTACTGGTTATGTGAGTGGATCTGTGACGTGGAGTCACACAAACCTGGGCTTGTACAACTCCCTGATGTACAGATCAGGGCCCTTGTTGGCCGAAATACAGAAAATTGAACGGGTGGACCGCGTACCTGTTCTCTATAAAACATTTGAATAAAAATTACCGGAAAATACAGTAAAAAAAGTTCAGCATGGCATGCATACATACTTAGGAAAACAATAAAAATAATAATAATTCGCCCGCCCGCACCAATATCACATGGGTCCTGCCCGGGAATCTCGATTTTATTTGGTCTCGCCTTAAGAAGCATAAATAGGCTGCAGTGAACAGGATCGCGGCTTCCTGGCAAAATAAGCTTCTGGAGAATGAAATCATATGCAATTTTGGTGTTGATGAACTATTTTGTTACTGCTCTCGCGTATGCTAAGCAGTCAAATTAGTACGTCGACACATAGAATGAAATTTCTAGTGAACAGTATTCAGCCCGGAAGATGTGTTTTTGCTGACAATGGTCTATCATCACCAATTTGTGGAGTTGCACAGGTGGCTACTGAGTGAAAGCTAGACTAGGCAAGGAGGCTACAAACTTATCATAATTATTGAGATGAGAAAGTGATGGGTTGTATGCAGATGGAGAGAATTTCATGTTGTCCCTGCATCTCTTTTTATTGGAATGTTGTGTCTCAGGCATCTGTCTTCTTGGAAGCACTGCCAGGCTGTGGCAAGCAGGCATTCCGTCAGTTTGTGTCTGCTCTGAAAGAGAGTGAGAAGCTGGCCCACCAGGAGCTGGCTGATCTCCTCAAGGAGAAGCTGCTGGAGATGACCTCTGTAAGCATACTGTTGTTCAGTGTTATGTCACTATTTCCATCTGTGCTTACTTTTTTTATCACCAGCTGTACGTGTCAGAGGATTTTCTTGGCTACATTGTTGTTGGTTTGCTCCGATCCCTACTTGAATTGGGAAAGCAATTTCAAGGAAGCACACTTGTGCACCGATAAGGCCAGACGCATGGGTATGTGTGTGTGTGTGTGGGGGGGGGGGGGGGGGGGTATACAGAGCAAGCAGCTTAGTACATGCATGATTTGTGGACATGTTGAATAGGCTCTTGTCGTCCATTACGTTCTTATAGTCCCCCCCCCCCCCCCACACACACAGACATCCTATGCTCTGCTCTCTGTCCAGTTTGGCAGAGATGCAGCATGGTTGGGCAATGTCGTAGTCCAGTATGCAAATGTACGGAGAGTCTCAGAGAACGTTAGAACGAAGTTCGTGATGTACAATATTGTTTGAAGCCGTCAACATGAGGCTTAGTACGTGTATTGTTCCAGGACTCAGTGCATTGATGAATGTCTCTTTGTGTGTGTGTGCTTTCATCCCTACAGGGTCTGTGAAGGTTACTCTGCCATGAGCTGCTATGTACCCACAACGAGCTGCATCATTGGATGGTGTGTGCAGACTCTACTGAACGGTCGTATTGTTTCTGATCAAGTTTGTTCCGGTCTTCCAAGACCTTTTCTAGGTATGTTTCTTTTATGCTGTCTTGAACTCTTGGCTTGCATTCTAACTGGTGTAGATAAGAATGAAATAAACTTTACTTTATCCTGTATTTTGCAAGAATATTCTCCAAGTGAAATGGTTGACGATTCAAGTTAGAGTATGATAAAATCCACACTGCACTGCACTGCCAGTTTGTATTTGCTATCTATATTGTAAGCTTTGGCGCACGGACACATGATACCTTTTGAGATACATTTGGAGCTGCTCAGTTGTGCTGAAGACCTACCTGGTGGCATTTTTATAATTTTTTTAAATTATTATGATTCTGTGGGTCTACACAGTACGTTGAGTGCACTCTTTTCTGTGAGTCTACTGAGTTTTAAAGTTATTTGTCGGTTTCTCCGCGTCTTACGTACATTAATTAAAAGCTTCCAGAAGTTGAAGTGTGCTGTATGTTTCGAGCTACAATGTTCTGATGTCTTTGACTCACGTTTCCTTTTAGCAGAGCTTATAGTTTTGTTTTCGCTCTAGAGATTAGCCTGTGTTCTTTCACACTTGTAGTCAACATAGAATTTCTGACTAACTGAGGAAAACATACTCAACGGCACGTTCACCTCAGAAAGTTGCATTGCCAGAGAATAGGTATATGGAGAGGCACTCGCATTGCAAGTAGTTCGTACCGAAGTATCGTATGGACTTGTACGGTACATGATTGTATTGCTTTTTGTTTTTTCGGATCGCTGTGCTTGGCGGCATCACACAGTTATCATGAATATGAATTACCGGTATCACAATGAGGAATACCTCATTAGTGCATCACAAAGATGGCTGACTGTTCCTGGTCACTATGTTGAACTTGTTACTTGGGCAATGGTATTGAGTGGAGCTAGCAGAATGACAGTATGTACATTGTACACGTACGTACATGTACAGTCATAATTATATTGTCGGTCACGGAAGAAGTGGGGGGGGGGGGGGAGGGGTCTGCCTAGTACTTCAGAGCCTACAAGTACAAGTAGACCGGTATGTTTTCATGTACACCCAATGCACATTTGAGTCACCGTGTATACATTGGTATGCTGTGCTTGCCGTACGGTGAAATTCTAGCCTGGCCGTTCTTGGGCGGCCGACAGTACTCACCTCTTTTGGTTTCCTAAGTGACTTAGTTTTGAGAGTATGTACAGCATACCCCCTCCCCTGTCCCCAAGTATGTATGACTTGTGTGGAGACTGTGGGTTCCAGGTTTTTTGTGTGTTTTCAGCCTGACGATGGGCCAGTCCCGAAAATTTGGTGCATCGTGGAATGTTTTTCTTGTTTTGTTTCGCAGTGAAGAGATCGTTCTCGGGCTTGGGGTTGGAGAAGTGAATCATAGTGTATGTTTCAGTGGTTGCGTTGGAGTTTAGGGAAAATTAGAAAGTCCTGCATTATTCTTATTAGCCGATGCTGTATCCCAAGCAAGTATTTGTGGCGTTGGTTCCTTTTTGTGTCATTTTCACAATACATTTTTTTATTTTTTTATTTTTTTACTATTTTTACTATTATTCACAAACCCAACTCGTAAAATAAATAATTATGTGGACAAAAACAAACAGCTACTGAGCATAGCAGGGGCTGCACTGGGCAGCAGTGATGGTGAGGTACCAGGGGCTCCACCGACCAAAGCCAAGGTCTCGGCTTCAATGCCACAAGCACAAGCACGCACATGATTCACCATAGCAACGGTAGTCCTTATCCCGCCTCGTTACCATGGTTACTACATGTAGTTTTGTTGTAGGTGTTGTGCGAATCTCCCGGGGCAATGAATAATTGAATGCATGCCCCCCCCCCGGCCCCCCAAAGGCCAGAATGAAGGCGCCTAACCGGCTCTGTCCGTAACGACCTTCGATCGGATCGGCCCACCGCGGTACCGGTACTGGCGCAGTGGCGGCAGCCCCACCATTTCCAACGACCCCAATGCCGGCTTGGTCATTACGTAAACATGGTAAACCATCATAGCAATCCTGTTCCCCCTGTCATTACGTATAGTACGCGTCTGCACTGCACCAGCTGCGTCCGTTGTTTGTGTGTGTGTGTGTTTGGTGAAGACGCAGTTGTTACCGTTCATGTGCGAAGAAGAGGTACAGGACCATTGTGTTTGATAGCAGTTTTGTACACTGTAGTCTCCTGGGCAGTATACCCTTGTCCCAGAACCAGAGAAAGTAGACCTGTTCAGTATCATCGACTCGAGAAATCATTATTGTCTCTTCGTGTGTCTGTCGGTGCCTTCGAGGTTTGGACGACAACGTAACATTGTTGCGTTGTTTTCTCTCGAGTCAGAGTGATGTGTTGATGATAAGCCACTATTAAACTTAGTGCGACTTGTGCTGGAAAACCGAAGCTGCACTGTATCTGCAGCTATCCAGTATTTACGGTAAGGTACAGTGCATGAATACATTCTGTAAAAATAAGAGCCAGGATAGACCTTGAACGTTGAAACCTTCAAGTTCAAGCAGTGCAGTCAGTTAGCGCCAGGCTGGCAAGATGGGTTGAAGTTATCCTACATGTCGAGAATTGCATTTCGGATTTAGAATTGCAAGATCTGAATAAAATCCGTGGTAGTGATGCGTTCTACTTCAAAGTAGTACTAGTACTAGTAGTGTAAGTGGAATGTATTCTAATGTACTACACTATACTAGTCTGTAGTACTACACTAGTCTACACTGTACTACTACTACTAGTCTACACTGTACTAGTCTACACTGTACTACTACTACTAGTCTACACTGTACTACTACTACTACTACTAGTCTACACTGTACTAGTCTGTAGTCTGTAGTACTATGACATTAGTACAGCGATAAGGAAATGACTGTGCTGTACAAGGGTCAGCGACTCAGCGCCGTTCTATTGTATTGACGTTATGCTCGGTGAGAAGAGTGTTCTATTGCACCTGCTCAGGACTTTCCTGACCCTCAAGTTCAACACTGTCCTCAAACTGAGTGTCCTGTGTGGTCATGCATATCCATCTTTGTGATGTTTGCCAGAACCTAATACCTCTTGTCATGCAGGTACATGTAGAGTTTATATAGATAGTTTGTCCTGAATGCAGCAAATGATATTTTCCATCTTTGACCTCTTTGGTTGTGGGTCTGATCTACTCACCTCCGTCCGCTTTAAGAGCTGCATCTGCGCCTTGGTCCTCGAGGGTGGTGGCGTTCCTACGGGTGCGGAAAACTCAGTCTGAGTATCGCGAGAACCGCGAATACCTTTACTGTGATCTAGTGGAACTATGATGTGCATATGTGAACAGCAGGGCTGTAGGGAACAGACTGTGTTGTGAATATCACGTCTGTAGCTGTGGAGAACCGGATATGATGAATGAAATGGTGGTAGTATGGGGTACATGTGATGCAGTTATTTCACCATGTGTGTTGGGGGGGGGGGGGGGGATTGTTTGCCGTTAACATGTTACACATACCTGTTGTGTGTGACATGTGTGAAAGTGGACTTCTGATGTACTGTCATTCATACTTGAATTCTCATTGAACCCATTACTCAATGATCAGAAGACAAAAGTAATATTCTGGTGGTGGTGGGTTTGTGCGTTTTATATAACTTTGTGTTTAGAACAATGCCGTTTGACTTCTGGGATGATGTTGTCCTGCCAGCATGGCATGACATAGCTCAATGCCAGATTACTGATGAAGCATTTAAGAAGGCTCTCATGGCAATTGAGGAGCATCATCCACGTATCAGCAGAGATCCCGTGCTGAGGACATATCTGATGGCGAGTAAGGAGTATTTCTCCCTCAGAAGGAGTTCAGAACAGAACAGGTTAGTCTGCTATGTTGGTTGGGTGATTACCTTCAAGAGAGGACCATCGGGTGTCCAGAACTTCATTCAAGACATCCAGTCTTCATCTTTCCCGTCCAATGTTGCTGTTGGTGGACTGCTGGAGAGGATTTGGAAAACTCGTAAGAATGATCATCCTGATGAAGATGTCAAGGATCCTTGTGAGTAAATGATTGCTATAAAGTTATTTCTAACACTTGCATCCAGTTAAACTAAGCAGGGAAGTAGTTCAATGATTTCATGGTATTTTGTATGTAAAGTTCATACTTCATACACGTGTAATTGCACCACTACACTTGTTAGCTGCTCTGGCAACCCAATACTTTCCCTAAGCACTCTCAGAAGACTATCTTGTAGTCTCATGAGTATTACTATGAGAAGAAGTATTGGAAGACAGGAACCACTGGAGCATGCACTGTCCTATAGTTGATGGAAAATCTGAATAATCATTACCGACAAAGAAGTGGGAAATATGAAATCGTGAGCACAATAGTGCATTTGTATTGTGACCTGTATGCTGCATAAGTATCATAGCATAAGTATACCTGTTGCATACTTGAATACACCTTGTAAATGAATATAGCACTTGCAATACTGTACATTGAAGAAATCTTTACCTACATGTTATGTGTGATATTATGCTGGTGCATGTTACAACATTATACAAGATCATGCATTCTATTCTGTAGAGTAGAACTACAGTATATTCATAAAAAGATGGACTTCTAGCCTTTGGCCAAACCTTTTAGAATATTTTTCTATGGAATCCTCTTCTAATTATGTTCCTAAAGACTATTTGCCCAAAAAGCAAGCCATAACAAGAATAGGATTTCGGCCAGGTTTTGCCCTAAAAGCATTGATCAGGGAGATCCATCAAAATCCAGGCCGTTTGACCCCGCCTGCAACAGTGCATCGTGCGGTTCGAAACCCCAGTTCACGTACCCTTTTTGGACCCGGTTTCAAATTTTGCAGCACTGCGCTGTCTACGATAATATCACGAAACTCGCCTAATACGGCAGCTCGCCAGAGCCAGGGATCATTTTTTTGTGAATGGACTGTAGAACCAGCATACCATCAATGGGAATGAAAATGTAGTTGAGCCGATGTAGGATAATTACAACTCCTGCATTTTACCATCGTGTCACGGGTTTTAGTCAATACATGTATGTACAAAAGTACTGAAATGAACATGATTGCACTCACTATAGTGTAATTGTGCTATGTAAGTTTAATAACGAGACGTGTAGATCTTTACTTGATCAACTGATGCCAAGTATTGTTTGGTGCAAAGATCCATCAATCTTTGTTACGCTACATGGACTTTAGACTAAAACTAAGCATGTATGTCACATATGCTGTATACAGTCAAATTATCAACCAATGCATTTGCAATACTCAAGGCTACCCGAAAGCAGTAAATTATTATTTGAAGTAAAGAAAAAAGGACCAGGAAACTACAGATTCCGCTATAATGTCCACTAACACCACCGGTTACACCAGTTACAGTTCCCCTCCTCATGTTGTTTCTATAACTTAGAACATTCCTAGTTGGAAGGCCGTTGGAGTGCCCATCCAACTTGATGTGCTAGAGCTGTTGGCCAGTTAGTTGTAGAACGCCAGTACCGTCGATCAGTGTCGTACAATGTTATCGCATGCCTGAGCTGATTGTTTCGTAGCGGGCGGTGTTAGTGGACATTATAACGTAACTTGTAGTTTTTTGGTCCTTTTATCTTTACTATAAATTTATCCTTGGCTCTCCACCCAAGTCCATTATTATTTGAGTGCACATTTTGCCTGAGTTCAAATGTAGTCTAAAAATATACTTCCTCCGCACCACCGAAATGTGCACATATTTTTTAAGAGCCTGTGGGCAATCATTCCTTGACATTGGCAAAAGAGTACGTCAAAAATCAGATCCAAGTATCTAGAAAGGGAAAAGACATCTTTCTTAGTCGACGTTTGATGATGACTCAAGCGACTGGGGACTCAAAGCCTCTCCAATATACAGTAATCAGCATCGAGTG